TCCATCCATCCATCCATCCATCCATCCATCCATCCATCCATCAGTAGTTGTCACTGACTAAACCAATTGTGAATACATTCTTTGTAACAAACTTTACATGTTGTGAACTGTGTAGATAAAATACCTTCAGTAAAGCACCCATGTCTCCAACGATAGGCAGAGCAGTCTGTCAAAATAAAAGAAGAGGGAGTTTTGTCTTTCAGTCCAAATATTTTTTATAATACCATGCTGCAGCTGTTTACTTCAGGTGCATCTAGTGAATTGAACACACAAAGAAAACATTTTCAGCCTCATAAGACCATGATTTACTCCCGAGTGACGATTTACATACAAACGTTTATTATCAAACTGAATTTGTTCCAGTTTTGTTTTACTATGTGAGAGGAAAACCTTAAATTAAAATGCCAAAAGGTTCTAAAGTCATAATAACATTTTCATTGTTGACAGCTTACAGTAAAAAATATGAAGGGTTGTTTTAAATCTGAACACATTTACAGTGTATATGTGTTGAACTAATGTGCAATTTTAAATGTATCCATGCCATTTTTAAATGGTAGCACATAAAGTAACATGCAAAAAACAAAAAAAAACAAACTACTGATTACAACTAATGTTAGTTAAACATACAAAGCATATGGCTGTATGGCCAGGTTAAAAAACACTACCTGCTGAATAATAATAAAAGCTTTTTTTAAGTTTCATCTCGTCAGAACAGGTACGGCCCTATTTGACTAACTCTGTCACTGCTGCAGGTGTTATGTTTGAGTGCTTTGATCCGTGTCATTGAGAAAATCAGAATAAATATACAGAGTAGCTGGCAGTACCAGAGGGATATTTCACGTGTTTCTTTTTGAAGTCAGTGATATGACTTTAGTTTTTCTCTTAACTGGGACCACACTCTTTGCATCTCCATTTTTATCCTGTTTCTCTATAATGAGTTGTTGGGCTGTCTTATGATTTTTTTACCAGACTAAAGTTGTAGCCTCAACAGGTCCTACATCCCACCATCCACATTTACAGAATGGAAACTCACCCATTAGTATATGCACTGCAACACTCTATTTACTAAGTAACAGCAATAACTAAAGCTAAATGTACTGAAAAAAAAAAGTAGACAATTATACATACATAATATTTATACCTAATTAGAGTATTGGTAGGAAATGCAATCCCCTACTTAATCATCTCTGATGATGTTTGTAAATATGCTTATAAATATGTATGTTTTCAATGTTCAACTTTAATTGCAATAGAAGCAATTGTTCATATGTTGCAGTGGTTTAACTAGGCAAGGGGCTGTGAATTTTCTGTATAAATGGCAAAACTCATGAATTTGCTTGTGGAGAGCCATAAAAAAAATACTAAGAACATTTTTATATACTCCGTCGCCTAAAGCATTGGTTTCAAACACACACTGAAAGTAATTTATCTGTAGTTTTCACTGCTGCTCAGTGGTACTGAATTGCATAAAAGAGATCTTATTACTTACTGGTTCACCTGGGGGTCCAGCAGGGCCCGGTGGACCTGGTCTACCAGGGGAGCCCTTTAATTGAGACAAAGAATAGACTTAACAGCCCTACTGGGTGTAATATCATGCAGACATGCAAGGCTATAACTTTTCATAGTCATCTTGGTTGGTGGTGATTTGTGGCTGGGAGCTGTGATACGTTATCGTTGGACATCCACAGGAGGAAGATGACAATCTTTTATACACCCAGTTATCTTTTATCTGCATACTTGTGGGACTGAATGAGATTAAAGCAATAGAGTGTACTCACTAACCTCCCTTCCTGGAGCTCCAGGAGGGCCAGAAAAACCTGGTGGTCCACGAAGACCCTGAAAAAGACCCATAGTTAGTTAAAGGAAAGTTTTCTTTAAACATCAGTTAATTACTATATTCTATATTATAGTAGTGTAAAATGTTTTTTCTTGATATTGTCCACATTATAGTTTAACTGGAACTCAGAGGTAAAATTCCAACATTCTGTTTTGGTGTTGTGAAGAAGGGAGAATTTACTACAGACCTCAGCTCCTGGCTTCCCTGGGGGTCCCACGGGGCCCTACAAACACATCACACATCTTGTTAACACCATCTGCCCTCTAGCACCCTGATCCAGTACAGTAATTGTGTTAGGCACCTTTTGCTCTATTGATTCTTTGTCTCCAACTACCCCATGCTTCAAAAATGAACACACTCTCATTCACAGTCAAATTTTGAAGGTTCAAAGTACATATCGATGGATCACTACAGTTTATAATGAATCTAGAACGCAATACGCCAGCCCCTAGAAAATAATAACCCTTGTTTTCACCTAAAGATGTGTTTAATGACTACTTATCTTGATGCTCTTTAGTTTTGTATGGCAAGTTATCATGGTTTGTACTAAATTATAAATGAATGAGTGATGGGCCAATCAATACAACATCATACTCACAATAATGCTCTCCCCAGGTTCTCCTTTCTCTCCATGGTCTCCAGGCAGTCCAGGCACACCTCTCTCACCCTGACAAACAAAAGGTGTGAGAAATCCATAAGATATAGCGCTACAACATAGAATAATAACTATTAAACCCAATTGGTCTTATCTATTGTGTCTAAATAAAAGGACGGCATTAACAGGCTAATCTTTATTACTCTTTGCATGTGAGAGCAACTTTAATATTTAAATTAAACAAAACACATTTATATAAAGCACCTTTTTTAAAACTATACAATAAAATAACTTTGTATCAATCATGCACTATGGTAGAGTTATAGATTTTAGTTTAATATTTGAGTCCTTATGGAGCAACAGATGGCAGGTGCTATATAAAATGGTTCTACACCCAAAATGGACTTCCATGCAAAAGCGTTCCTTCCCCTTTAAATTGTCCAGATTTCTGCACATAAGAACCACATGATGCAAGGCTTTTTATAAGAACTTTTTTTTTTTTGAACTTTTTATTTTCAATAACAATTTTTATATCAACACATACATATGTCCAACCATGTCACATCTCACAATTCACATCTTAATATCTTCTTATAGATCATTTTAGACCTTTCACTTGCATCAGACATACTGGCTGTCTATTCCAGCTCAGTTAACAGTTATCCAGGTGCTATTGAAGGCGAAAATAACAAAAAGAACCTCCAAAAATGACAAATAAAGGTGAATTTCCTTCAGATAGACACTAGCCCAATTAAGAGAAACCCATATTCATTAATAACAAAAAAAAGAAGGACCAAAGAGGTGTCAAGGTCCCAATATGAATTTAGCTATAGGTTTCCACTTAGTTTCAAAGGTCTCCAGCTTGAATTGTAGTCTTTATGTTGTTTTTTCCATGATGTAGACTTTTCTGTTATAAGAACTTTTTATTATAATGTATTAATGAGAAGTAAAAATGTCTATATCTGCCTTTGCACCAGCTTTTACTACTGTAGATATAATGCAGTTTTTATAAGGCGCCATATTACTAAATAAAGCCAATTTTGATTGCAGCATACAGCTGCTTTGTGAAGGGATTTTTTCCCCCAGAAACTGTTGAAATACAAAAAAGTATTAGTCATGCAAATCAACAATATGCCCTTTATGGAAGAGAGCCAAGAGGAAAATTATTATTGGAAAACAATTGGAACAATCTCTGTGAAGCAACATGTTTTGATCCTCAAATGAAAACAACCAAAGACTGAATCCGAGGTATGGTAGAGCTGGTAACTCATGTGGCTTTAACATTGTGACTGCTCTAAATATATCAGCTAAAAGCTAATGCAACCAGTGTTCAGAACTGAAGAAGATATTTGGATGAAAAATGAAATGAATTTTTACAGGGTACTTTAGTATGAAAATATAATTTAAATTCAAAAATACTTTATTGATCCCGAATGGAAATAAATGCTTTGCTAACTCTCAGAGGGTTTCTTTAATATGTCCCACTGGAAAACCTTAAATAAGATTTCATATATCAGTGGTTTTTCATATTTGAATGAACTTCATATAAATGCAAACTATATATATATTCCTTTTCTTTTTTTAAAGACAACATAGAATAAAAATAAGTTATTTCTTTAATTTATCCAGGGGATATATTATTCTTTAATCTTTAATCTACATGGGCACTGATCTTATGGTCACTGATCAAAAAGTCTTAAATCTCAAGATTCTCTATTACGCCTCTGCCTGTAATTTGCATCTGGGCGCTTCTCCACCAGCTCCATCTGAGGTGGCACGCAGTGGAGGCTGCTACACTCGTGGAGGTTAGAATGTCACAGGTGCTCTTTTGCATAATGAAAATCTAGTCATCCAAACCAATTTCTGACACTTATCTTTCATATTAATGATTACTGGGCCATACGTGGCTGTTTTAGTGTTTTGTAGAGCTGTGGGGATTTCCGCTACATTATCCACTACTACAAACTGAGGAAAATGAAAGGGAGCTAATTTGTTATCAATCCAGCAATAGATCCTAATCTGGATGTTTGCATTTTGCTGGAGCCTAATGTGAAGCTTGATCTAACTCAAAGCAAAACAACGACCTTGAAATGATCAACAACATGGGGAGAGCTCATTATCAGCAACAAGATGACCAGGGAAATCACATCCATGTCAAAAACAACCTCATACTTCCTAAAAGTTGATGTTGCCAACATATCGGAGCTCAATGCATATCTAAACCTATTCTAGGCAGTTATATGCAAGTTAAATCACAGAGACGACGCCACTGATATTAATCAGCACTATCGTCATTCATAGCAATGTCACAAATATCCCTCAAAAAAACACCACACTGCTCCCTGAGCGCTGCACAATGGCAGCTCGGAGAGTAGAAGAGGTACATTTTTACAGTGTCAGATCCATAAAGTTCAATTATTCAAAGAAATAATTTATTATTATTATATTTACCAAAAACAACAACTCATTTTTTAGACCTTCATGTACTGCATGTATGCTGTGAAGTACTGTAAGGGAAATTTAAAAAGGAAAATCCCTCTTAGTAAATATGCAACAACTGTGGTGTGCTCTTGTATTTAGTTTGCTGTAGTGTAAGATCTCTTAAGAAAATCCAGGCCCCTTTTTTGCAGACATGTATATATAGACAACAGATGGATAGATAAATAAAAATAAGGGCAAAACCAAAAATCATTAGCAGTGTAAGTTGCAAATGAGACTGCTATTAATGTAACTACATTTAATTTTAACCTAAATTGTACATTTATCACTCTACATGTAGGAGGAGATTTGCAAATGCTGATTAACATGTGAAAGTATTAAAAATGTTAAAGCATTTCTAGGAACATAGCTTTTTTTTTACTTTAAGAGTTTTCAGCTCTTAAAATCTAAGATAAAGGTCAGACCATTTTAACCCTTATTTGGCTGGACTCTTGACACCAGTGTTCCATTTTTCAGAGGCTATGTTATTATGTTCCACCCTCACTTTGGCTCTTACCTTAGGCCCGCGAGACCCTCTATTCAGTGACAGCCCTTCACTCTGAAAAAAGCAGGAAGAAGACATCAGAGTTGGAAATCACTGGACCTCTACCAGTAAATCTTGTCAACTGAGCTGCAGCCGTTCTCTTTTAGTACAAATTATAGAGCTTTAATTAAAACTGGATTCTCCAACTTGTACAACCTCAACAAATGACAGCAAGTTGAAGACGGAGGCGCATTATGAGGACTTGTTCAGCGCTGTTTTATTACTTTCAATGTGAGGAGGCACAGCAATAATGCTACAAGGTGGAGAACAAAACGTTGATTGGAAGCGAGGTTAGTGTAAGCATTATTCACTGCGCCATCCAGATGAGACATTGATTTCTTTGGTCAGCATTTATTAGTGTTACAAGCTCTACATTGCACAATGTAAATTAGTTCTGCTGAAGTTGGATTCGGACTAACACAGCAATTCTACAGTATTGAAAGGTGGGGGGTGGTACTCTTAAAGATCAAACAAATAAGCTGGGAAAGTAAAAAACACTTTTTCAAGACAAGTACAATTTTTCATGATTACTTTTTTAAAAGAAAACTTGTAATAGATTTTATGCATCTGCACTCTACTGAAACAAATAGAACATCTGTCATTATTTAAGAGAACAGAGCGACTGCTAATTTGTAATAATAATAGCACAGAAACAAACAATAGCATTTTAATTGTTATTTATTTCAAGGCAAAACCAATTAAGTTACTTGAAGTACTCATTTAAAAAAGCTCTGGCTTTTTATTCTTGGCTTTTTCCTACGCCGAAGTGTTATAAATGTGTTTTCTTGTAATCCCTTTTCATAGAAATGACCTCTGTAAAACACAGAGGGATGTCTGCCATAAATGAAAGCGATTTCTCTTTGTTGAGCTTTAGAACTACAGTTCACTGAGGGTCAGTTTATCATCATAAACACACACAAATATTTCAAAAATGCTCACAAAGTTTACGAGAGCTGGATCATTTTCAAGCGGTTTAAATATGTGTGCTGTCTGCCTCTTATTACGTTGCTTACAGTGGGCCTAATGTTCTGCCTCATCTTTTCACAGATAAACAAACATGATTGTTTAAAGAGCACTGCCTACGATTAGGGAGCGCAGGAGCTATCGAGCACGACTCAGGCACTTCTGTCTGAGAAGCTATTTCCATAAAAGAAAGTGCTTAAACAGCTATTAGCACCAAAATGGAAGGATAGGTGATTACACGGGTTGGAAACGGCCAGAAATGGATTGCTTAATGTTCTTGTATCTCTCTAATATTATGGAGTGGTAAACTGTCCAACAGAAATGCTGGGGCAGAAAGTGCACTCACTGGTAGGACCAGTGCAGTCACTATCACTGCATTTATAGGCCAGGTATGTAAGATTTGAGAATTCACAAACTCCAGAAAAGATATTTTGCCAGAAGCCAATAGATGCATTAGCCTCCATACAGAATTGTTTCGGACCAACGAAATAAAGTGACATGGATGATGTTGAGGCGTCAACCAATGGTGGAAGGCTAAAGAAAAACAAACATGGCCGCCTCAGTTTTAGTTGGAATACCCTCTGGGAAAGATGTTGGCTCATTCGTCTGTACCGGATTTGGTAAGGGTTTAATTTAGCAGTTAATTCCGCTAGTTGTGAAAGAAATCAAGAATGTGATACATTGCAGCTGCCTCTGCTACTGTGATTGGCTAAAACTGGGACGAAGGCACCCAATCAGCTAAAAGAATAGTACTGAACGTCCCTATATTTTACAAACACTTTCTAGAGGAGGGTTTCCAGATTGATACAGTAGAGGTAGAATTCAAATTGAACTACACATAATAACCTGTTTTCTTCCAGGTTAGATCTAGCAAAGCTTTGAATAGAAACATGAACAAAATATACTAATCATAGAAAGTTCTGATGGTGTTATACCTCTCTGTTGAAGTGTTTGCTGAATCCTGCATTACCAGCTTTACTTAGACTTTGAAGGACATCATATGTAGTAACACATCCTATATTTTCCCATGTAATCACTGGATTCTATTCTATCTAACACAAATTCCCATAGAATAAACTGAACTAAACTAAATACTAACTAAAATGTAAATTAAAATTATTTGTACATGTAGTGCAGTACATGACACCAACCATATATCCACCACCGGGTTCTCCAGGTTCCCCTTTAGGACCAGGAGGCCCCTGTGGCCCAATCACTCCACCAGAGTCTCCCTGTGGGCAGAAAGACCAATTTCCGTTAATAAACAAAGTGGAAATGGGCTGCCATACTCAGTGAAATGGAAAATCAAAGGCACACAGAGCTGATATGCATGTGCAGACTTTAACAGATGTTAGCCTCTTTGCTACCTATGTTTTTACATACCAATCCAGTTTCTTTTTTTATTTTTCAGATGTGGTATTTTTAACCAAAAAAAAACAAAAAACAGGTAGAAAAATATAGTTTTGATCCTGAACAAGACAAAAATAGATTTCATATCTCAAAAGTACAATAACAAAACAACCATTAAAACCAGTTTTTGAGATTACAGATAACTTGATAAATAAAATAAAATACTGCTACAAAAGATTTTAAAATATCTTAACAGTATTTCACTGAGTGTGTTTTCTAAAATATATTGTTTTGTCTTACTGTAATGTTATTCATAAAATGTTAACATTTTAAATTGTAACTTTCCCCTTTTCTATGAATGCTCAGTCTTATTTTTACGCCTTTTACAGCTGCTTTTTGTGTCTCTGCCTCCGTCTCCTTGAACCCCAGTCGGCCTCGGCAGATGGCCGCTCACACTGAGCCTGGTTCTGCTGGAGGTTTCTTCCTGTTAAAAGGGAGTTTTTCCTCTCCACTGTCGCTACAAGCATGCTTAGTGTGAGGGATTGTATTTGAGTCAATGAGTCGATGCAATCAACTGGTTTTCCTTAGATAGAAAACTTTGTATCAATTTGACTGTATGATCTGGTTGAACTGTAAAGTGCCTTGAGGAGACGTGTTGTGAATTGGCGCTATATAAATAAACTGAATTGAATTGAATTGAATTATTGATATGTATATGATATTTGTCATCTGTCAAACATGTTCATGAATTTACATTGTATACTGTATTTTAATGATGTGGACCCCAGGAAGAGTAGCTGGGTGTAAAGCACAGCTAATGGGGATCCTAATAATAAATAAACAAATAAACAAACAAATGCTTTGGATTCACAGTTTTTCTGAAGCACATACAGTACTGTATATAGCCCCTGTTATATCATGGTTCCATAGCTATGGACCAGTTTGTCCTTTCACATCATACAATATGAATTACTGAGATTCCAGGATACATCCACTTGTAGAGCACATGACCAATGTTATGGAACCAAAAGCCCTTTGCTTACAACTCAAAGCCTTACCATAAGCACTGCATTGGCTAGGGCTTAGCTCTATGTTAGGATCCTCATGCACGCTGTTAAAACACACTCAGGTTATGTAAAAGAAGCAAAGTTGTTAAACACCATCCTAAACTTTTTGTGGCCTTTTTTAGAGCCTCATACTTCTTTGATCAGACAGACACTAGATGCTCATAATTATTCATTCCATTCACCTGTCAACCTCTGCCAAGTGCCTAATCAGTGCTCATCTGATCCACCTGCTCCTGCCTCTATTTAAGGTGCTTGCATCCAGTTATCAGGGCCATATTATCCTTGTTCTCTCTAGCCAGTGGTAAGAGTGTTTTTAGAGTTCCTTGTTGTTTCTGATTTCCTGATCCTTCCTCTCAACCACTGAGCCTGCCTGTTCCCGTCTGAATGGTTTACCGGAACTGTCTTTGGATTCTTGGACCTCTGAATCAGCCTGTTACTGTTCTGACCTGTTTGCCTGACCTGACATCGGACTCCTGGACCTATGAGCCTTCCTGTTCTGATCTGTTTGCTTAACCTGGCTCTGGACCCCTGCTGGTTCTCCGGGGCTGCAGTGTCTTGGACACCTTAGCGACACCCGCCGCATCTTGTTGGCAGCCCACCGGATGGTTCCTACCTCATTCTCTGGTGATGGACTGAACCCGTAAACCAGGTTAGTAACTCACATTCACTATCTTCCTCGATTAGATTTACGTGGTTAAATTCCTCAGTCCACCAGTTTTTATAATCAACACTTTTGAAGTAATCCTACTGTCTATCTTGCCTGAATACTGGGTCCTTCCGTTTTGAATCATGACATGCATAGCTTCAGTAGATGCATACCGCAGCAGCTGCTACCTTTGCTTTGTAAGATTGACTTTGTCCCACTAATTTCATTTGACTTTGGTTATGTTCTTGTGACCTGATCCACACACAGTGGGCCGGGAGCCAGGCACAGATACATACCTTGGTTTGTTCAAGTACCTGCCCTTTTGCCCTGGGGGAATTACCTTTTTTGGCTGAACTCCATTTTCTTTTAATTTACTCATGTTTAAAAATGAACTCTTCTACCATAAATTCAACTCTGCTTTTTAAGGCTTCTGCACTAGATGCACAAACCACACCTTGCACTCTCCTTCCTTCTCCTCTTCTTACCTACAGGACCAACAGCTGGAATTTGCACCTGTATCACAAGACTGGTGTCAGAACTGTTGGATCTCTGATGTTGTTAGGACCTAAATTAACATTTAAATGCCAGCCAATTACGTACCCAATGTCCCTCCAAAATGTTTGCTTTTTCATACAAATATACATTTATGTGTGGAAAGACATAAAGCATTGCGTGAAAATTATGAATTTATAGCGAAAATGGTATTTAGGCTTCCCATTTCCTAAAAATATTTAAAGAGATTGCACCAAGGAAAATGGACCTGTGAAGGAGCAAGATAAACAGTTCAGTTTCTTTCACAAACATCAGGAGCTTGGCCTCTTATTTAAATATCTGTATTTTATGTTGGATATTATATTTTAATTTAATTTATTCACAGCAGAGTTTGATCAGTTTTAAGACAACATAGTAAGTCTTTTTTGTTAAACTGATCAGTCATCAAATTTTCATTTTATTTTTTTTGGCATACATTTTAATCTGTTTTTGACTGGCATACATTTTATTCAATTTGGTCATCTGATTGGATCTGATTAACATAAAAAATATCTAATTAACTACATCATAATTTGTTATTTCTATTTTATGAATAAATTTAGCAATGAATGGGATTTTTAATTTCTTTTTAAATAGAGCACCTGGCACCAAGATGTCTTTGGATGTGTCTATTGGAAGCAGCTTTGGTGGGTCGACAGCAGTCCCTATCATACCTAAGGAGAATTTTAGAGAAGCCAATTAGCGAAACAGTAAAGTTTTCGGGCTGTGGGAGGAAGCTGGAGTACCCAGAGAACCCACGCATGCACAGGGAGAACATGCAAATTCCATGTAGAAAGACCCTGGGTATTATTATTTTGAATACAATAGTGGATTAAAAACACGTTTCAGTTAAGAACGAGGCCATGTCCCTGGGTGACGATAGAGTTCTAAACAAAATTTTAATTATTTGTTTTAAATTTGTATTTGGTCTATTTAATTATAAAATGATAAAGAGGATTTTTTTTTAAATAAAATGTTGTGGGTTTATATAGAAAATAGGCTAAACGAGAAACCGGCCAAAGAGTGATACATATTTAACAAGTACAGTAAATGCACTCAAATAAATTCTATGGTTCTACTATTTAAATGAAAGCATGAGTACTTCTTCCAGTCATTTTGGTTTACCTCAGCCTCACAGTGAAACACAGCTTTTGAGATTCAATTCCAACTACACACTTTTCCACACTCCTACTTCACTGCTTTCAGCTGCTTGAAATCAGACATGAGAACATAAAGCCACAATATAATTGAGGATGGTGTGCAGGACGAGCAATCTGGAAGGTGTCTGTACGTACGAGTTGTCTAGGATGTTCAAGTTGTGATAAAAGATCTTTGGTTTATATTTGTCTTTGAGGTGAGAGCTTGATTTGATGTTTACTTACCTTTTCTCCTTTCAGGCCATCTCTCCCAGGCACCCCTGGCTCCCCTGGTAAGCCCTGTAAATGGTGGTGAAAAGAGACACATCTATCACTAGGCCTTCATCTCCCCACACACACATTTATCTCCTCCTCCTCACTGCTTCAACGGGCAGATGTGCTCCAACAAAACTTCCCCTGGCCAGGATTTATGAAATGCCTCTTTCCCTCCCTGCTTTTGAATAAAGACAGATGCTCATTACCGAAGCAGGTGCAGAGAACAGATTGGGCTGCTGCCTCCGTCGCTGGCATAAAGCGCTTAGATTTGCCTCTTTCCACTACTTAATTTTTAAATTTGATTACTGATCTTCTACGTAAAAAAAAGAAAACAAATCCAGACTTTTTTTTTTCCTGACCTGCTCTCTGTCTCTGTCTGTTCAGGTTGATCTGTTTATCTCTCTTTTTTGCCTTGACAGGATGAGTTAGTAGAGTAGAGGATATGGCAAGGTGACAGATAAGGCACGGAGGGGAAAGAAAAGCTTGACATTAAGTGCTGCTGTTTAGTGCCAGAGTACTTACAGCATTGCCTGGGAGTCCAGGAAGCCCAATGGATCCAGGTAGACCTTGTTTTCCCTTGTAGATTATAAAGTAAAAAGCAATACTTTGGTCAATCTACTGCATTTAATTATAGTTATACCCCCTGGCCCAGGCTAATTAAGACAATATCTTATCAGCCCAGTTAAATTGTTGGTCTGACAAGTAGGAGTTTAAAAAGCTTGTTTTATTTCATTCTGTTATGCATGATGTGGTAAACAACTCAACCTTGCAATTCACATAACTAATAAGAATTAGTGTTATTTTTTTCATGTTACAACCAAAAACTTTCATTATTTTATCGGGATCATACATGGCCGACCAACAGAAATTAACACAGTGAGCATGAAATGTAATTAAAATGATATTCTGTGTTTTTAAAATATAATTTGCTTAAATTCTGAAAGCTGCAGATTCCATTTGTATTCAGCCTCATTAAGAACCTCTGGAACTAAAGTTTCTAAGCTTAAATTCTTACACTGGGTCTATTTGGATATATTTCAGCTAGTTTTTGCTTTGCAGAGACCAAAACTGTTGCCACTTCTTTGCAAAACAGCTTATTCCTGATTTGAATCAAGACTTTAAATGAAAGTTTTGCGATATGGTTTAGATTCTCTATTGGATGCAGGTGTGGACTTGGACCTTGTCATTTTTTGGTTTTGTTTAAAGTTTCTTTTTTGAGTTTTGTTGGTTTAATTTTCTAGTTGTATTTGAATTTTGCATTTCTTATTTACCCTCTGTTGCCCTCGTGTGTCAGTGTCCTTCTCTAGCTCCCTTCTAGATTGTTTGTCCACACCTACTCCTCGTGTGACAATTGGTCCTCAAATTGTTTCTGTCTCCCATATACTGTATACTCCTCCTGTTCAGTCACTCTTTGTTGGTTCCTCGTCATTTCTTGGCTCTTCATGTGCGTTTTCCCTGATATCTCACGGATTTTATTTTTTCTGTATTTTGTTATATTTGGATTTTTGGTTCAGTTGCCACCTTTTTTGTTATTAGATCTACAAGAAATCACTTCTACTTCCGCCTATACATTTGGGTCCTCTACAAACCTTCACACAACCTGACAGACCTCACATGGTGTTGGGCCAAAAAATGACATGTTGGTCTAACCAGACCAGAGTAACCTCTTCCTTATGTTTATGTGTATCCTTACATAGCTGGCAGCAAAGTTCAAGTTGGACGTTTAATGACATAAATATAAGTATTATTTCTTATCACAAAAGCTTAATTTGCCTCTCTTCTAAAATGGACAACCATAAATATGTCTGCATCTGCACCATATTCCATCTTCAGATAAAAGGACTACTACTCAGTGGTTCTTTAAGGTTAGGAGATTGTTTTATAAGATTACCCTGCTTTAAACATCTACTTGTTTATTTTGTTTCTTAGTCTTTGTAATGGTGTTTGTTCATTAATTTATCTTTTTAACTTGAGAACAGCTGTATTAAAAAAGAAATGTCCTGTTCTTTCAATTAAAATCAGATTTAATTGCACTGATGCTGGTGCTTGTGAACATACATGTTCTAAAATGCTTTAAGGGGTATTATTTTGCTAAGCATTTATTTTTATTAAGTCATTTTCTCTGGACTTAGCCTTCTCTTAAAGAAAAAAAAAGCGTTCATACAATGCAAAAAAAAAAAAAAAAGGCTTATGTACCTCTGGTCCTTGATCTCCCTTCAGTCCCGGTGGTCCTATGCTTCCCTGTTACATCATCACACCACAGAAATAGAAGGGATAAAGGAAAAATGAAAAAAAGAAAAAAAAAACATTCTTTTTTGCTCTTTGTTGTTAGAAAAACATGAGTGCATATGTGACTCATCCTTGACTCAGAAAGCATTAGAACCTTTGTGCACACGAACAACATTTTCAAACCTCAGGAAATACAAACTATAAAGAGGAAATGAATTAAACCACTGATGACAGCTCAGAAACATAACTCATAGTGTGTCTGCTGTCTTATCTCAGAACATATGTCAAAAGAAAAGCTTTCTCTACAGAAAAAATGACTACTAACAGCCTATAAACTTTAAAGTGCCATTACCTCTTGATATTGTTACACAGACCCTGAGAAAAACTACAAACAGCAGTTCTTTCTGGATGTCATTTGAGCTTTACTTTATTGGCACTAGATATTGATGTTCAGAGGTAAGTGCTAGACTGGGGTTCTCAATAAGTCACCTTAAGGCCCGGTGGTCCTTGAGCTCCTCTCTCGCCCTGCAGACAGGTAAAGAAACAGGAGGGCATCCTTTGTAAAAACAGGCACAAAGAAAAATGGTGAAGCCACTCATTTGTCTTCCCGACTGTGGTGAGGTTTAAAAGGACTCCACAAGGTTTTTCAAGAAATAAGCCTTTGTGTTACAACAGTTAAAAGCAAGAGAAAACAAGTGAATCCTCTCTCCACTTTAAATGAAATGATATAGAATTTGTTGCTTTAGAATCTTTTGATCTTGTTTAAAAAATAAATATGTAAAAAAGCTTCAAATCTTCGAATTTTTTTTACAGATTGTATGAAAATATATTTTGGACAATGGTACATTGCATTTCATTAAGTTTTAAGTGAAAACCATCTCAATTTACACCCACTGTAAAGACGAGATAGGGATATTTGACCATCCCTCTTTGCATAATCGCTAAACTCTTAGATTTTATATTGGATTTATGGCTGTGGCCGTTTTAAAAGATTGATTTTGTGTGGTGAACTAGTGTGTCTACCTGCTTATGTTTTTTTGTTATGTTCTTTCTCTCAAAGAAAATTTATTTTTTATTTAAAATTGTTGTTTTACATGAAAAAAAGCCCATAAACGTCATCTGATCTGACCCTGGCAACATTTTCTTAATAACTATCTATAAAAAACTAGCAAACTCAAAAATGTGGAATGGTTGCTATGGAGACAGCCTGCACTATTGAGGTTGTTAAAAATATATTTTTAAATAGACGCTGTTTTTACATATCTTTATCAGGGGTACCAATACAAATGTGACCCGTACAGTGTCTCCACACAGTTAAATCTAAACTTTAAGTTTAAAAACTTCAACATAAACAGATCTATAGTTGATCCACATTTGGAAGGAAAATTCTTTATTAAGGTTAAAGAAGCAGAGCTGAATACACAGGCTACATCCATGAAAAACTTGCAAAACCCTCTCTGCCAACAACAAACTGGCTATTCTGACACTGACTCTTGTTTGGTGCAATGTATTGGATTGGAGTGTTTAATGCTACTAGCTTGTTTGAAGGAACAGGTTGTATAACAGGTAACTGTACGCAAACGCATCTGCCTTGCACCTCTTTTTAAAGGTACTCCACAAAAAGAACTTTACAATATTCAAATGCAATTCTGTCTCCAAACACACCGCTGTTCTTCACTTTTAAACTTACAGTTGGACTCAACTACAGATGTGAGGCTGTGAATCCTTCTGGCATTGCTTTATGTAAACCAAAATACAGGAGAAGAGCAAAAAGATGGCTTTGTAGAAGACCAGTTAGCCTAAGTGTTGTGCCACATCTAAATTGGTGATGTCAATCAAAATGTGACTGTGTTGGACATTCTGGCATGAAAATAGCACATCCAAACTTTTCCACTAGTTTCCAATGAAGTTAAGGTTAGGACAGCAAAAGTCTATTCACTCATCTTCACTTCCAAATTCTGGTGGTAGTCAGTGATAAAGCTGCCTTCTGTAGGCAAGTGCTGACATGTTGGAGAAGACGGTGGAGATAAGGCATGGCCACTGGTTGAAGAATTTCATCTCGATATTACTCTGCATATGGAGAGCCTCCAGCAATGGAAATCTTGCCATAAAAAACTGTTATCCCACACTATCAAACTACATTTTAAAAGTGAGCACAGCTTCAACTTTAACAAGGCGTTTCAATTAGTAACAAGTGTCAAACCTAATTTATTTAGTGTATATTATAAGTTGTTCAGTTAAACCATCAGAATTAAATTAGGTTTGATAAACCTAATTTATTTACAGTACTTGTTACCAGTTGAAGCAATTCATTTAAGTTGGTGCTGCATTCTCTTTTCTTAAAACTGCTTGGTATTCTCAGTAGGGAGTCGAAAAGTTTTTTTAAAGCTGCAACACCCTTATCCAACTCTGTTAATCTGCAATTGTAAACATATTGTGTGATTTAATGAGATATTAACCATATACCACATATGAGGTACTGAATATCCCTATCTCCTGCCTTAAGTTTATATGTGAACTGTGAAAACATATGAGGTGAGAACTGAAAACCTTTTGCAAATTTAGCACTTTATTAAATTTAGTAAATAGTAAATTGTTTGAAACGAGTTGAAGTCTTACTAAGTCTTTATTTTGATTGCTTTGTCATGTCCTAGGAACTTTCTGTGTCATTTGAAACATACTGAGGTAGATGCTTGGATGATGAAAATTAACATTTCATCTGTTTACACAAAAACTCTTATGCTCTGTACTTAAAGATGTCAGATCTACTCGGTATGATAAGAGATGCACAAATCGGATATTAGGCTGGTTACTTCATTGTTGAGGTTGATTAGCAAAAATAATGTATTTTTTTATTCTCCTACTCTTATAGTTTATTTTCACTTATGGACCTCTACCACTTTCCTGTTTAAAAAAGTTCAATATTACCTCTTTTTTCTTTTTTTTTTTTTGCTCTTTATCTGCTTTATGACATTCCAGTCTGGTCGTGACCATCTGAACTAATTTGTCATCTTTGTCTTTTTTTTTTTTTATTCTCTAACACCTGTTTTTTTATCTCTAATCTGCTGACCACTGACTAACATGAAGCATTAGTTGTTTTGTGTTAGGGCTATTTTAGGTTCAGGATATGTAGATCTAACCTTTATACAGAAATTGTGATTGCTCTTGATTGTTAAAAAAGCCAGATGGTGTTCTATTTTAAATACATCTGTAGGGTTGCCAACGTTCATTAAGTGCATGTGTGGGTGTGTGAGGGCTGTTCAGTGTGGGGTCCATGGGGGGCACAGGAACAAAGCATGAAATAAAAACAGGGCAACAGTTCATCGTTTGATATATTAAGTGAGCCAAAGAGCCACATGCGGCTCTGCAGATATAACAGATTAAATCTGTGGTGCTACACTAACAGTAAGAAACATATAATAAACTGCTGCATGCACATAACTTAGTTATTGCACAATTAAGTTAATGAGATTCTGTTCCAGTTGCAGCTAAAGGTGTTCTATTTGTGTCAATTTCTGTTGGGTAAACAATTAAGAACTTTTTAAATATATACTAAATATTAAATATTGTATAGATTAAACTCTCTCAAGCAAATGCTCTATGAGAGCTAAGATACATCAAGCCTTTTGTTGGAAACTCCTTATTCTTTATGAAAGGATTCCTAAATACTGATTCCTCAAAAATATTAAAATTTTTACATAAAATATAAAGAAGACCCTAGAAATATGTTTTATCTAGGAATTGTGCAGAAAACCCCAAATCTTGGCAATATTTGTTTGTTTATTTTTATTCTTTTACCTTTTAGATGATTTAATCATTGAATAGCTCTCTATGTTGGTGAATAGTCAATGATTTGCCTATCTCCGATCAGGTTGGTATATTTTCAAATAATTCTTTCTTGGATGTGGTGAAGAATCACTTCCAACATGGGTTGGAAGCGAGGCGTATGTGGGGTCTGTCTCTAGGCAACCATGACAGCAGCACGGGTGCAGATTATCAGGTTGTACTTAAATTCCACCAACAGCTATACTGAACTTAGTATTTTGTTGATTATTCTTCTTAGTTACTGTTAGCTTTGGTGTTGTTGATGTTATAAAGCACTAACTGCACACGTTATTTGTTTCAATACGTTATGCAACATTTAACTGCCAAATAAAAAAATTCCGGATTTTACACCCCAACCTAACATTGCCTTTACCTGCCTGTATTTCAGATTACATTTCCAGCATATTGGCATAAATATTTTCAATCACATATGAAGATCCTGATCATTGAATTATAATTTCAGGCCACAAGATTCCTTACTTGTAGTTTTTTCTTAGAATAGTTCCCTATTGCAAACAGTGCTTACCTAAGTTTACTCCAGTAAAAGTTCAGATGGGGCTCTTTCAAATTGCTTATTATCAGTAAAAACCCTGAAGATAAACAAAGAACAATTGCCTAAATCGGTGCAATGTGGAGTGTATACCAATGCTTTTTGATTTCTACCATAAGTAAGTCTCCTATGATTCTTTTAAAATATGCTCGACTGTAGATGCATTTGCAGTTCTTGCATCCAAACAATAAATCCACAGTGGTTTGTTCTACAATTCACTTTGTCCTTCTCTACTGAGCCCAATGGTGCAATAAAACCCTCCACCTAAACAGCAGGTGATCAATTGTTATTTCACAATCACATCTCAATGACACTTTTGTTGATTGTATGTAAGAAATAGGAAGTATTATTCACGCTGTGATGTTGGACCAAGTTCCTGAAAATCAAAAGTGAGTCACAGTACGGTTTTCCTCTGCAAGCAATAATGAGGAAATATAGTTACCTCGGCTCCCTTTTCACCCTTCTGAGTGCTTTCATCCTGGAAAAATAGGAGAAAAAAATACTACATCAACATCTAAATGTAATGTATTACGGTTCAATTTAAACTGGGAACATGAAGCAATAATACATTTGAAAATACATAAAATATATAATATAAACATTTGCTTACAGTTCCAGAGAGCTGTCTTAACCCATGTGCTGTCATCACCTACAAGTAATGAAAGACATAGTGTTCTGGAAATGGTTTTCAAGAACCTGGCAACTACTGCCAACATTAAAAAAATAAAGAAAGAGGTTCCCAAATTTCAATTTTATCTATTTTACTGATTCTGTGTCATGATCTTGGCACTGATGACTGACTTAATTACTCATTCCATTAACCTTTCTAACTCTGCTCTATTTCTCATCACTGCTCATCTGATCCACCTGCTCCTGCCTCTATTTAAGCTGCTTGCACCCAGTCATCACATCAGATTATTCTTGTTCTCTCCAACAAGTGGTGAGGGTGTTTTTAGTGTACCTTGCTGATTTCATGATCCTGACCTGTTCTGACTCTCAACCATTGAGCCTGACTATTCCCATCTGATCTCAGAGTTGAGAGCGTGTTTAGCCTACATAAGTGTTTCTGATTACCTGATCCCGACCTGTTCTGCCTCTCAACCTCCGAGCCTGCCTGTTCCCATCTAAATGGTTTTCCTTAACTGTCTTTGGACTCCTGGATCTCTGAGCCTGCCTGTTCCTGTTCTTGTTGGCAGCCCACTGGCTGGATCCTACCTTGTTCTCTGGCTTTGGACTAAACTTGTAAACGAGGTTAGTGACTCACGTTCATAATGTTCCTCTGTTAGATTATGTCACTAACCTGTGCTTCTTCTCTCCAGAATTTCCTGCCTCAGACATCCTAGAAGCTGTTAATACAGACCTGTTTATTTTAATAAACACTTTTTGAGTAATCCCACTGTCTGCCTTGCACGAATACTTCTGTTCTGAGTCGTGACATTCTGAGTTTAACTAGAAAATCTAACATTTATATCCAGAACACTATTTTGTTTTTGATTTTTTGAAATCATTACCAAGGATAGCGTGACACAGATTAATTAGATGAACTGTTTTAATCACATGATATAAAAGAAAATTATATTACATTCAAACGGTGAAAAATGTGCATACGGACAAACTCATCGTGGCCTGCAATTGTATGACACCTTTTCAAGTAAGGTAACAAAGTGTTTCACACTACATTTAGTCATTAACACACACCACCATCAATAGAAAATGCAGTTGAAAGGTTTTGCCCAAGGACACATAAATATTAAAAGGGTTTAAACTGACAACTCTTTGGCTGAATTGCAAACTCCTGCATCCAATCCATTGTTTTCTGAGTACAGTCAAAACTTCAGAAATGTTTGGGGGATTTTCCCGTAACCAGTTTTTAGCAATCTGTACTCTTACATGTTGAAACCTGTTAGCCAGTGCTTAATACAAACGGTTATTTTATCAAACTTTCCTACAAAACATCAGTGTTAACAGGCTGGAGACATAAACTTTGTTAAAGGTTAGGGTTAAAGCCATAGAGTATTTGGTAAACATTTTGCTGCATTCTTTGAACTTACATTTTGTACAATAAATAACTAAAATAAATAAAAAAGAGCCTTTGATTTCCTTTCGTTAAAGAGCTTTATTTCTCTACCTTTATAATTGTGATTTCTCTGATTCAAGTGTGCCTTTGAGCCCTATCTGATAATTTCTCTGATTACAGTCTCTATGAACTTGACATGAATGGCTCTCTTTTTAGCAACAGTGGTCCAAACGAGCAAGGTACTTATTCCCAATGGCATAATCAGTCAATCTTTACCTGCTGTTAGAAAACAAAGGGGCCGCTTTGTCCTCGGATATGAAACAAAAGCTTGATTGCTATTAGCATCTGTGGAAATTTCTTCAAAACCTTTCTGCAAGAGCATAGTTATTCTGCAAAGGGCCATATCCTTCCACATAAATTGGCATAACAGATTTGGCTTCACAGATTATAAAACACCAGTGTTCAGCAGTGGAGCAATAAAGAGAGGACTGTTTTCTCCCTTAAAGGGCAAAGCTGGATGTGATGGCCGTGCATGTCTGTGAGTCTACTTCCCCCTCCTTGTCACTAATAAACAGAGGCACGAGAAGTTTTATGAAGGGAGGGTAATGATGTGAACCCTTGCTTCTGCTGTGTAAGGGAAATCAATGTGTTACTGCCAAAATTATCTGCCATGGGAAGGAGCGGAGCTCAGACAGAGAACGGCATACCAGAATATTCAAACAGACTCATTTATCAAGTAACTGATACCTTCCTACTCCACTGTATGCAATATCTATAGAGGCAAACACTTCACTAAACAATGTTTAGATGCTGTCATTTATTGAAGGGCAAAAACTACTAACTAAACCTCTTTAAAAAAGCCTTTAAAACCACAACCAAGAGTTTTCTGTCTGTTTAAAGAGAATTGCCTTTTGTTTGGTAAGATTGAAAAGAGGGAAGGAGGATATTTCTTGGATCTATAATTATCATGTCTAATTTCCATATGAATTGCTCGTTAACAAGTGCTGAAAATGAGAATATGAATGAGGGTGATCCAACTTTGTTTCCAAGCTACAATGCAAGGGCTTCAGTGGGTTTAATAGACAGCTGTTCTTCAGAACAAAAGCCATTAGTCGAGAGTCATGAAAATGTCAAAGCCCTCACTTTGAGAAACAAAAGCATCAAGAACATGTTTTTATTGGACAATTTTAACTGTTTATTCTTTTTTTAATATATTACTGCTGCCTTACATATCTGAATCTAATCCTCCACCCTTGATGTTTTAAGTAGGTAAGGCATTAGTTTCACCATGCAACCGTTTTGTGTCTCTTTCAGAGATGTATACATATTCACCCTGACATAAATTGCTGCTCAAAATCTATACCTTTACAACATTTTCCTAAAAAAAGCACAATATTTTTCTGTAATTCACAGTTATTAACTTAAGCAAACATGCCTTGCCCTGTGATCCCAATCTATTCACATTGTGAAGCGTTTTGCAGTACCAATAAAGATTTAAACAATGACTGCTTGAGTAAATTTTTTTTTTTTTAACAATACTAAGTAAAGATCAGCCACCAGCAGTTTGTAGGTAAAGAGCAAGTCATTATCTAAAGTAACAAAGAAGCTTTTTGTTGGAAAAAATTAAACAGAAAAGAGCTTTTCTTTTATCCCTTATGCTTTTTCTTCTGCTGTTCATACACACGACGGAAAGGAAATATAAACATAGCTTAAGATAGAAAAGCTCTGCAGCCTCTTCAAGGGGCAGGATATTGCTTACACTATGACATGGTAGCATATTGGCGGTGTGACAGCAAAGGTAAACACTGTTTTTCCATTTAGTTCCTTCTGCTGGTCTCCAAACAAAACCTTTACTAATGCAAAGATGTTTGGCCATATGCTTCTGCTGGCATAGGTTCAATATAATGCATAACTCTTATAATAAAGCATAAATAAAACAGATGAAAAGATTGTGTGATGTGGAGTTTGATCCCAATATTGTACTTACAGACACAGGAGGACCAGGAGGACCAGGCGGGCCAATGTCACCCTGACGATGAGAGGAGCATATTGATTGTAACTATCTTTGACAACTGGAAGCAATAATATAAACAAACATAAGGTGTTTATCTTTGCATTGTCAATCTGTTAAACAAGACAAGAAACTTCCTTCACCACTCTCCACATGCAGCCCCTATCTTATCCTTTAAATACTAAGCAATATACTAGACATTCGTAGGAAAGGTTATAGTTGGGCCTCATGTCATTGTTTGCAAGGATTTATAAGCAGCCCGAGGAAATCTTAGATCGTTCTTAATTGTGACACTTGCTGGAGGGAGCCTCCATTCTGTAATTCATAATTTAAATCGAGGAAATGTTCCCCCTGCAATAAAACTGGAAAACGTCACATTTTGTACTCTATGCAGTATTAAACGATTCAAAAGCATGCAGGGAACACGTGCTTTGGCTTACAAAGTACAAAAGCTTCTGTGAAATTCTTACTTTTTTCACAAATGGGGGCTTGTAAAGCCTTAAAGTCCCTGTCTGTGTGAAGATACAGTATATGCTCATACGGCATCTTTTTTCGGCCAGTTGAACTTTACAGTAACTTTACATGAGAAACCACAAAGATCCCATTTTTTCCCCATGGGTCCATCTTAGGGTCCAGTGGTGCAAAAAGTGGATAAGGACTATATGGTGCAGATATGGTTGGAGCGCTGAGCTACAAAGGGGCAAGGTCCTTGCTCAGCTTTTTCTGGAAGTGATATGATGAATAAGAAAGGGATGTCACTGAAAGTGACATTCCAGTGTGAGCTTCTTTGACAAGTGGAGGCGGAGAGGGCACTGCACCTGAGCAGTATGGGTGAAGAAGGCAGGGCTGTTTTCATTCACTTTATATATACGGTATACATATATACTGTATGCAGCATTTACAATTGTCTTGTTACTAAAATGCTCTCTATGTCTCTTCACACACACACACACACACACACACACACACACACACACACACACACACACACACACACACATATATGTATATGTACAGCATAAACTTGCATTGCCTTGCCTAGGCAAATATTCTGAGGCAAAGTGTCAATCTAAAACTCCGAAGAGTTGTTCAGTAAACCGGTCATTTATTTAATTTCAGGCTTAGCTTTATGAGAGTCTGTGTCATTATCTTTGACTGAGCCTGAAATGTTACTGTATGTTAGACTACCATGTTTGGAATGT